CTACACATAGCTTTCAAGGAAAATATAATATTTTACAAATAACTTTTTGTACAGTATATTGAGGTATTAAGTTTATTTCCATTTAGTTAGCTTGAACAATCTATATGAATATTCAAACTTTTGCTACCCGAAGATTATCTGGGTATGTCTACCTGGGTATTACCCGGGTAGCTGAGTTTACAACCCTGTGATAATTGCCTATGGTAATTATTATTTTTTTTTTTTTTATTACTTTAAACATAAATATAACGATAATTTTAAAGCCTTATTTGTTTTCAAAATAAGGAAAAAGTATACAATTATTTACTAATTTAAAATCATATTATTTATTACTACAACAATAATTACTGTATTATCAACCAGACAAATTGATCAAAATTATTTTATATATAAAGATCAAACCATTTAGTCATTTTAACGCAAGAATATTTGTTGTTGCATTACAATATAATTATATCTTATTACACACAGTATTATTTTAAAACATAAGTAAAACCATCAATATGAGAAATATTTACTTTTCGATAAATTTATTGATAATTATTTTAACGATAAAAAATCTATTGGTGATTCATGCTTATAAGGAACCTTTGGCAGAATTATGGAGAGTAGATGAAACCGAACTACCCAGGTTAATAAATCTTGAGAAGAATTTATCTGCGGTAGATAAAATTATAAAACCATTACTGAATAACGCAAGTTTTGCTGGAACTTACGTGGATGTAATAAAGAACAAATTAATTATTTATACAGCAGACTTATCTAAGGTCGAACCTTTTAAATCATTACCTGAAGTAAAGCCATACGAAAATCTTTTATCATTTACAAAAGTGCGCAATTCCGAAGCTGATTTAATAATAAAATATCAAAAATTATCAGAAATAATTTATAAGAATAAACCAACCCAAATACTAGTTTATATTGATGTAAAGCTTAATAATATCGTTATAATGACATTCTTCAATGACCAGAAGAAAAATGAAAAGTTTTTACAAGAAGTTCAACCATTAA